CTATAAACCCATTAGATTTGGAAATAATATCTTTTACCTAACAAGTTTGTTACTGAGCTACACTGATGATAAAACTTGACAAAATAGTTTCTGGGCTGATGGATGTTCAACAATAACAAGCTTTACTGCTTTTATCATGAATTTGTTGACTTTTTTTAATGATCCAATTGAGTTCATTCTTTCCCCTGCCACAATATGAACTAGGTAATACAGAGACAAATGATTGCATGTCTTCTACCTTCTAAATATGTTGGTTTTATACTCATTATGGGTCAGTTTTCACAGTTTGAAAGTTGTTAAGGCAAGTTCATTATGCAATATTAAAATATTGATTTGAATAATTTACATGCTAAAATGTCCTTATTCACACATTATTTAACTTTGACAAAAGTATTGGTTTGACTTCTCCTACATTAAGTTCTAATGTAGGAAAAATAATTCTTTCAGGAAAAAGAATAACACAATGTACAGTGCTTCATTTGAGTAATTTAAATGCAAATTATGTATTTCAAACCTTTGTTTGAATCTGATATGTAGAGAATTTTAGAACAGCAAAACTGCTCATAAATTTTGGAATGCAGGGCAAAGAGTACCATTGACAAAGAAAAAGAGGTTGCATTTCCAATATCTGAATGAAAAATTTTAACAATAGATAATGTCCTCCACATTTTACTGACATAAAGTAACTTACATAAGGATATATAGCTTAATAAGGGCAGAAGCTAGGCTTGAACCTACATCTCTGACTCCAAATCTTACACCCTTTTATCAAAACTAAATTGCCTTAACAATCATTTGTATTCCTTGTAGACACAATGCCAACTTAGAAATATTTGAAAATATCAAGATGTATTTTTTTTTCTTTTCCACTGGTGATTTGATATTCATATTCAGTGTGTTGTTGCCAGGCAAATTTTCAGGTTAACTTATTTTGAAAGGATCAGTTGTTATTTTTAAGAACATTGTCTGAATTAATATGTAATTATATGACTTAAGATACTACCTTACCAATAACCATTCCACTACGCTCTCTCTCTCTTTCTCTCCTGTTTTTTGTTTTTTTTTCAGTTTTAGCATAGAACCAAACTATGACTTCCTCTATATATATGACGGACCAGATAGTAATAGCCCACTGATTGGAAGTTTTCAAGATAGCAAATTACCAGAGAGAATAGAAAGCAGCTCAAATACCATGCATTTGGCTTTTCGGAGTGATGGATCTGTTAGTTACACTGGATTCCATTTAGAATATAAAGGTAAATGTGAATATTTGATTTTAACCTCATGATGTAAATTGTGAGTATTTTATATGGGAGGATGATTTTGTATTGGCCATTGTCAGTGGTTAGTTATATGTGCATTTCTTAGGGCAGGCTACCGCCAATCCATCTCATGAAAGAGCTCCCACTGTTGACTTCTTCTATCAGTGAGAAGGAAATTAACATTTCCCTAATTATTACCATAGGAAATGTATCAGCAAACAAATTAGCAATTTAGTAGACTCTGAGAATTGGCTGAAACCACAAAATATTT